CAGATCCACAAGATGTAGCCTTAGAATACAGAAGAGTCTCATCTCATTTTCTTTCTGGCTTACCTGGGAGAGCTGACAGTGTCATATAATCAATCTATCTAAGCAACTTTCCTATCACCTGCCTAAAACAAGGAAATGAAATGAGAAATAAGAAATTTGCCTGTGAAGATACTCTGAGGAGATGAAATGTTTTTATACCCAGTTTTAACTCTTCCTCTTTTTCCCAAATCTCTCATGTCATATCTGGGTCTTATATCTTTGACAGAACTTTTCTTTTTCTTCCAAGAACACTTTTCCTAGTACTATTATTTAACAGCCAAGCAGGCATTCTGAGGAGGAAAAATCCACTTTTTAAGGGTGATGGAAACAAGTCCTCAAAAAGTAGCTCCTTGGAACTATCAAGAACTTTGCACACCCCAGAAATATGCAGTCTTAATATGAATGTAATCAGGGGTGAAATCCAGCAGGTTCTGACAGGTTTTGGAGAACCGATAGCAGAAATTTTGAGCAGTTCGGAGAATCGGCAAATACCACCTCTGGCTGGCCCCAGAGGGGGGGGGGAATGGAGATTTTGCAATATACTTCCCTCATGAGTAGGGTGGGAATGGGGATTTTGCAGTATCCTTCCCCTGTAGTGGGGAGGGAATGGAGATTTTGCAGTATCCTTCCCTTGCCACGGCCACCAAGCCACGCCCACCAAGCCACACCACGTCCACCAAGCCACGCCCACAGAACCGGTAGTAAAAAAAATTGGATTTCACCACTGAATGTAATCCATATGTTGCTGCTGTGCTCTTTTGTGACTGCAATTATTTCAATAGTATTGCAATTTTCATTTGTTAGAGAAATTCCATCTTGCTCTTTGTGGTTTCCAGAGTACATTTTTTTCCTGACTTCTTCTTGCATGGAGACACTGAAAGTTTGCATTGATATGTCCATCTGTTTAACGGACTACAACTAAGTGATGACAGTTGGATGATATAATGCAGCAACTAATTTTTCCAGGCCATTACTTTGTTGCTATAAAGTTTAGTGCTGAATGGTTTGACAACTGACAGCACCCAAAGTGATAGAGATCTGTTTGGTTGCTTCTTTATACTCAAGATGTTTCTTGGAGAGAAAAACAAAATCTGCTGACATTGTTGGATTCAGAGATGATACCTCCGGATTTTAATTAAGAAAATAATATTCAGGGTAATAGATATTAGCAATAAACATGTGTTCTAAATAAGAGACTGATGTGTCACAAACAATGTATCATGAGATAAATCTTCATGCCTTGATCTGATCACGATTAGTGATTGTAGGAAATTTTGGAATATCTTTTTTTTCCGGAGACCTTTAATACTTGAAGTTTCTGGACATCTATATGAAAATTGAGTTGCAGATTATGCATTATGTTGAAAACAAAGACAAGAATTTAAGGGAAATATAAACTAAAATAGTACTAAAAGTACAAGACTGCTAAATTAGAAGTATTAGTAAGTAGACTTGCTTTCACATGGAGCAAGCAATGTTTCCCAATTTTTTTGGAATTGCAAGTAATAATTGGAGAATCAAGAGAAAAGATGCAAAAGTAGTTTTAATAAAATTATCTTGAAATATTTATGGTAGAGTAGTTCACTGAAACCAATAAGGCTAACCAGGAACTGAAATATTAAAAGTTAATTATTATAGTACTCTTAGATCTATTCTTTTTTAAAAAATAAAATGTTTAGCTAGAAAAGAGAAATTGTCTGTTTTATCAAATTTCAAAGTAAATATCAGTAATTTAATGGATATCCATAGGTAGCACATGATAAAACTATTAATTATGTGCATCAAAATTTTATGTTCATTATGATTTGTAGCTTTTCTCCAATATTTTGGGTAATCATGAGTTAGTACAGCACATAATGCTAATTTCTTAATATGTTTAAATTCTCACAAATTCTGTCCAGAACAAAAAAAAAAAATGTGACTGATTTGCAGGTGTACATATATTGATAACCTGAATGTTAAATTATTTATTCATGTCATAGATTCAAATATTTTCTGGATGGCAACGAAGCAGGCACTGGGTATAAATCAAATGGTTAAGCAACCAGTTCATTTAAAAGAGAAATTAAAATAGGCATTAACCTGTTAGTGCTATATACTGTACAGGTGGTCCTTGACTCACAACCATTCATTTAATGATTGTTCAAAGCTACAATAGCCTCAGAAAAAGTGACTCACAATTAACACAATTGTTGTACCATCCATACAGTCACATGATTGCAAATCAGACCCTTGACATCCAGCCCACATTTATGATTGGCTGCAGTGTTCTGTGGTCATTGCGATTGTGATTTGCAACATTCCCAGCAGTCCCTGCCAAGCAAAGTCAATTAGGGAATCTGGATTCACTTAATGACATGTGTTTCACTTTAACAATTCCAGGGATTCGCTCAATGACCACAGTAAACATAGTCATAAAATTGGCTCCATTCATGTGATGATTTGTTTTATGACTGCACTGATTTACAATAGACATTTCAATCTCAATTGTTGTTATTCATTGAGGATCAGCAGTTCTGGTACTTTAAGGATTCTACTTTTCTTAATACTTTTTTTCACTGCTTACCTATAAGTAAAACTAAGACTTGACTAACAAGGTTCTTCATTGTTTTCAGTTTTGCCCTTACCTAATTTTATGGTTCTCAGGTCTTCTCTTCTCTTCTCTTTGGAATCATCAATCACTGGACTTCTGAATAGCATCAGGCCTCTTTTTGGAAGTCTTTGAATCTTCCTTTCATCATTTGAATGCTTCTGTTTTCTTTTGTACAAATGGACCCCAGCAGGAGTGGGTTCTAATTTTTTTTTTCTTATCGGTTCTGTGGGTGTGGCTTATTTTGTGGGCATGGTTTGATGGTCATGTGACAATTCCTTAGGATTTAGCAGAGGTACTGGTCTACCAAGCTTTTAACTGCTTGCAGAGTCGTACTGGTCTACCCATTTGTTTTTGGAGCCTCCCGGTCTACCTATTTGTTTTTGGAGCACACCAGTCTACCCATTTGTTTGCACTGGCCTACCACCACACTGCCTTTTACTGCTGATCAGCTGTAGGGCAGCCCTTTGAAGTGCCATGGCAAGAGTTTAAACAGTTTTTTTTCTTCCAGACGATCAGCTGGGACTCGGGAGGCAGCAAATAGATTGGGGGTGGGGCCAGGCAGAGGTGGTATTTACCGGTTCTCCAAACTACTCAAAATTTCCACTACCGGTTCGCAAGAACCAGGGAGAACTGGTAGCAACCCACCACTGGACCCCAGTTCATCCTTTGATGAACATTTTGCCTCCATCCAGTGAACTTTGGCTTTAAGACAAGAGGTAGCCATTACATACATACAGCTCTCAAATTATTTTAAGACAGGCCCATAATACAACTTCTCCAGGCCAGATGGGTCACTTTTCCAATACTGCACCACCAGAACTTATACGCTCCACATTTTTATGAACAACTATTCAGGTCCCTGATTATTTAATTCATTTATTTAAGAAATTATGTCTCTAATGCAGACATCAATACATTAGAGAGGGTCCAGAGATATTTTACTAGAAGAGTACTCAAATCTTCTGCTCGAATTAAAGTTCCCTATACCACCAGGCTTGAAATTTTAGGTCTCAAACTACGCTGTCTATGTTCCGATCTATGCTTAGTTCATAAGATTATTTACCAAAAAAAAGTCCTATCTGTAAATGAGTACTTTAATTTCAACCGTAATAACACAAGGGCTATCAATAGTTTCAAACTCAATGTAATTCACTCTAATCTTGATTGTAGGAAATATGACTTCTGCAATAGAATAGTAAATGTCTGGAAAACCCTACCTGATCCTGTTGTTAGTCTCACTAATCCCCATACCTTTTACCTTAAACTGTCTACCGTGGACCTTTCATGTTTCTTAAGAGGTCCCTAAGGGGGCGTGCATAAGCACACCAGTGTGCCTTCCATTCTTGTCCTACTGTCCCCATTTATATGTAATCATTCTATGTCTTTATAGCTATGTTTTGCCTATTTATATCCTTTTATTTGTGCCAATTTTTTTCATGTGTTCATGTCTATGTCTATACTGTTACTTGTTTCCTTGTACTTGTTGAGAAATAAATACATAAATAAATAAATAAATAAATAAATAAATAAATAAATAAATAAATAAATAATAACACAGCTAGAGACGAGCTTCAGGAAAGCAGAAGCTAGAATGTGAGTAGCTCTACTCAACTATCATTTGATATCTATTTATCTGTTAGCAGAGAGAAACATCCATTACACATTTATGGTTGCTAAGTTTTATGCTATAGTTCATTACTTTCAAAGATTACTGATAGCTCAGTGCTTATAATACAGTCACTGGGTTGTCACAGTTCTTTACTTATATTACTTCTATTTTACTTTATTTCCTTTCTTTTAAAGATTTAATGAGTACACTTTTGATAGCGCTGGTTTTGTGACTGTAATAAAATGAAATTAAATAAGAGTGGCTGTTTCCCTATAATGCACATTACCGGAGAGATAAATTACCCTACATGATATAGCATGTTTTCTTGCAACAACAGCAGGTCCTCTAAGACTATGAAACTATTAATTAATGCTGTGTAATCAGGGGTCATCTCATGATAGATATGGCAATGTACAGAGATGAAGTAATAATATGGTACGGCTATACATCATTGGCTCATTGAGACAATATTCTGAGTGCAATCCTGTTTTTTCTCTATGCAGAGTGCAATTCCCATGTAGCTTACGTGAAAGATAGTACATGGCTCTGAATGCCAACCTAATGCTAACCTAATATCCTCCCTGTTTAAATTTTGGGGAGATGAGACGCTACTATTTAATACCTCATTGCATTTATATAGAAAAGGGCTTGAGTGAATGTTATGTTGTGGGAGATGCAGTGAAAATAATGCTTTATTTAAATGTAGGTTTCCACAGTGTCCAGCAATTGGAAAGAAAGTTATTACATGCATTAACTCACCTTTGAGATCTAATATTTTCAGATGTTTATATTCTTCTGAAGTTTATCTCAGTCGCATAGGAACTAAATAAAAAGTGGATTTTCTGTTCTTATTTATAGCGAATAGTGAAAGGACTTATTGTTCAGCATTGGAAAGGCAAGCATGTAGCTCCAGCTGTTCAGTGATCTGCAGAATTAATATAGATTACCTATGGATAAGTGTAATGAATTATATCTTTCATTTATTGAAATGTTTGTACAAGTTTATGCATGCATGTACAGTAGTGGCCAAAATTGTGGAAACCTTTTGGGAAAAGTGTATTTTTGAGGTTTGATGACTAATAATACCACTTTTTTGGGGGGGGGGAGTTTCAAGATAATCATATTCCACTGTTGGAATGGCCTGGGAATAGCCCAGACCTTAACCCAATTGAAAAGCTATGGAGCCAACTAAAGAAACTTGTTAGTCAGAAGCAACCAGCAATAAAACACAGCTAATAGAAGCAATCATTCAATCTTAGTTTCACATTATAACAGCTGCAGAACTAAAAGACTTGGTTCACTCCATGGGAAGATGTTGTAAGACCATAATTCATGCTAAAGGTTACCCAACGAAGTATTAACTGACATGGTATTTTTTTTGTATATCTCGTTTTTTCTACGTGTTTCACTTTTCTTCTTTATACTATAACTGTTATTCTAATAGCAGATCCTTCATAAAAGTTACTGCATTACATTCTTGATTAAATTATCTTTCCATTGATATATAATTTTATGGTACTACTCCAAAAAAAGTGGTGTTATTAGCTAGTTTTAGAAAATACACTTTTCCCAAAAGATTTCCACAATTTTGGCCACTCCTGTATGTTCGAATATATGCCCTATGAGATTTTTTTTCTAGCTTTCTTTTTTTTTCTATTACAATTGCATGTATTTTTTTTCTTTGTTTTGTTTCTATTTACAGTAGTTAATTAAAAAGGGGAGGGGGGAGAATGGCAATTGGGCATTGAAGCATACAGTTTTATGGGCAGAGTTTGTCCATCCCATCCCATCCCATCCCATCTATAGAGTGAACAATGAAGCTTCCAATTTGAAAATGAGTAAATTATATTATATGTCCAGTTCCCATTCAGATCTTACATTATCTCCAGAACATCTAAAGAGCACTTCAGGAATTACAGTCTGCTCAGATTAAAATGAGAAGCAAAGCAATTTCTTTCACTAACACCACTCCCATCCCAATGAAACATGAAAACTTAACCAATTTCCTTGAGAGTTAAGGAGATGGGAAGGAAGGAAGGAGAAAAAAAGAAGGTAACATTTATAGATCTGCACCACCACTCCTTCTCATAAAATAATGATAATTCTCGTAGCAATTTTGATTTTGCTACATTCATCATTTGATACTTCAAATGGCCAGGATAGTATCATTGCCATTATTTCAAATATAGATTTTGTTTTCAGTCCAACAGAGGCTGAATCATCCAAAGAGCTGAATAGAAAACTCACCTCTGACAGCTGATCAATAATTCAGATGTTTCACTGTTTCTCCTCTAGGAGCTGAATTAGAAAAGGAAGGCAAAACAAGATAAACCATCAGCAGATTTCACATATTTGGCATTTTTGGGACTAATTTTTTTTTAAAAAAAAAAGCCCAGAGAGGAAGGGTTGGAAATAAATAAATAATACCTTCTCTGTCTTCCTCTGTGATCAATGCCACTTTTTTCTCTAAGATATGACACAATATGGACCCTTCCTGAAATGCTTTTGTATTACAATCTGCCTTGTCTGCATAAAATATATAAAAATTTAAGGTGTTACCTGTTGCCTCCAAGGTTACCAAATATAACTCAAGAGTTTTACATTTTTGTTAGACTGGGAAAGAAGAGCACTCAAGGTGAGAACATGGGCCTATTATCTTGAAGGGCTATTAGAAGTGGCATCTTGAAGTGAACCACCTTAACTGAATTATTTCCACTGGCATCAATGTCAGCATTGTCGCCTATGTGTAATGGATATGACATTCTATACTCCAAAAGATGGGCCATTCAACTTTATAGAAACAGCCTTGCAAAGTGTTCTGTCTTTCACCCTTTGAAGGAACTGAATGGATATGATGAATGCTTTTCCTATAAACTCTGACAACCTGATATCTAAATAGATGGATTTGCCATTTCCTTCTGGTAGGAGACAAACTAAGCCTGCTCGAAAGCTGTGAGGTGATTTTTTAAAAAAAATGACGCAAATGTTCATACATTTAATGGTTGCGTCAAAAGCCCTTTGTGCTGTGTCTGAGAATTTCTCCTTGACCACCTAAGCATAGAAAATACTTCTTTGGTTTTCATCCAATAATTGCAGCTAAGAGATGGCTACACAAAAACTCTCCAGGCTGATTTTAAATGTGCTCCAGGAAATTGCAGAAACATCTGAGCTTTCAAAATTATAAAGTTATACACCTGATTTGGCCAGTATACTGCAGCTGGTTAGTTAGTTGCTGAGAAAAACTATTTTTTTGTATCTCCTTGCTAGTTTTTCTAACTCCTGGGGATTACAGGCAGCACTGGGTGGAAACAGGGGCAAGGCAGAAGCAGAAGCAAAGGAACATTTCTCAGAAGATGTATTTTTGATGTTTGCATTTTCCCTATGTCTAAATCACTTCGAAAAAGGTCACTTTGAATGTTATTCTGAAAACCTTTTCCATCACATTCTGGGATGACATTGTGAAGGATGACAAACAGTGGCTATTATAGTTGCTGTAGCTGCATGCACTGGCATCTGAAAAGTAAATAAACAAGCATACTTAGAATAAAAAGCGAGTCCAGAGGTATTTCACAAGAAGAGTCCTCCACTCCTCTGCTCACAACAGAACATCTCATGCCACCAAGCTTGAAATTTTGGGATTTAGAGCTATACCGCCTTTGGTCTGACCTAAGCGACCGCCTTTGGTCTGACAAAATTATTTGCTACAATGTCCTACCTGTCAATGACTACTTCAGCTTCAACCGCAATAATAAACGAGCACACAATAGATACAAACTTAAGGTAAACCGCTCCAAACTCAATTGGAGAAAATACGACTTCAGCAACAGAGTGATCAATGCCTGGAATACACTACCTGACTCTGTGGTTACTTCCCCAAACCCCCATAACTTTAACCTTACACTGTCTACTGTTGGCCTCACCCCATTCCTAAGAGGTCTGTAAGGGGCATGCATAAGCACATCAACGTGCCTACCATCCCTGTCCTACTGTCCCCATTTATTCGTATCCTTATCCTGTATTCATAATCATGTTTATACTCATATCTGTTATCTTACATGTGTTTGACAAATATATTAATAATTTTTTTTTAAAAAAAGGGAAGCAGGATACATGCATAAGAACATTCTTGAAGCATTTATCCTAGACAAATTAAAGTGTTTGCCTTTCCTCTTTCAATGATTAGGCCTACAGGCAGAGTGTAGAATTTTGAGGCACACTCAGGCACAACTCTTACACTTGCCCATCATTTGCAGTGGGAAAAAGTTTACAGAAAGCAAACATGAGAATTATGTTGAAAATTGCTCTTTTATAGGCCACAGTTTGTCATGAAGCAACATATGCATTGATCTTGATATGTCTGTTGCAATATTTTTAGGATCAGACTCAATAATAATAATTAGAATTAGAGGTTCAAATATATTTCTCTTTAATCATAGTAGGCATTCTATATTCACTGAATATTCACAGATAGAAGCAAGGAAAAATGGCGAAGGTGGCTCCTTATATATACAAAGGGTGGAGCCAAGAGTGGGAGTGGTGAATTATGAATACATTAAGAAACAAAGAATAAGTTAACCCCTGATATCCCATATATACATTATTTACACATTAGGGAATAAGGCATTTACATCTGACAATGTCAAAGGTCTTTCTCTTTGAAAACTGCTTTGGGACTTTCCTCCCAATAAATATAAGGAATCATGAAAGTTAACAATAGGGTATAATTGATTGTCCTTTCTGCCAGGTATTGAACCTGTCTTGAAAAGCCAGGAGAGTATTGCTTTTGCCAATGAAGCTAAAGCTGATCTAAAGCACCAAGTTGGTCCTGCAATTATTATTTTCATTTGAGAATTCCAACAAAAGGCCAAGCAAACAGAAACCTTTCCTCATATTTGGTCAGGCATAGGAATTAAGGAATTAGAAATAAAATATTGGGCATTTAAATGATTTGCTAGAACCCTATCTTTAAACATGATAAATCAATGTGAAAATCTCTACTGAGGAAAGTGCCTTGTTGTGGCCTTAATTAAGCCAAACTATATCCTGAATTCAACATGTTACTGTGGAAAGTAAAAGATGGATTAATTCTGATTTTCTTTTCAAAGTATCTGGACCATCTGTAATGTAATAACTTTACGTAGTTGGAAAGCAATTCAATATTCTCCAAAGGTCCCTACAAAACATCTATTGGATTAAGCCGCAGAAAAATGTAATGTAATTTTACGTTGTGGTTTAGTGCACTATAGACCTCATTACCACAAAAAAAGTTAAAACACAAGAAGCTTCATTTTAGGATTCTTAGTATCCTCATGACAACCCAAAGAAAAACTTCCAGCAGGTATTCCTATACTGCTACAGTTTCCTATTTCTTGTGCCCATGTAATATGTAAGGTATAGTGGTTGAAGTTGTTAGAATAGGACCATACTTCTCAGGTTCAAGGTCAGCTTCAACCATGTGTCAATACCTCTGTTCTTGATCTGTTAGGGTTGCCAGGTGTCCACTATTTGAGCGGACAGTCCACTTTTTCACATGTTCGCTATTTTTTTTCACAAAATAGTGGACATTTTTTTTATTCAAAAGCTTTATGATGAAATGGTACGTAATCTAAAGCTGTACAGTCTAAGAGAATAAGGATAGGAGAATCGCGTTTTGTCTTTTTTTTTCATAAGTTAGAATGAGACAAAGATCGAATGCTCATTGCAATAATCACATTTTACACAACAGCACAAAAAAATGCATTAAAGCAGTTATATTTTGATATCGAAAATGTAGTGCTGAAGGTTTTTGCCGAATTTTCGAATTCTGCAAAGAAACGAGAAGAGTTGAAATCATTTTTTGAGTTTTGTGAGTCAGAATTCCATGAAGTTTTGTGCCATGTTCCAACACGTTGGTTAAGTTTGTTTAAAGCGGTCGAAAGACTTCTTTTAAACTGGATATCTCTAAAATCGTATTTTATTTCTCTTGGATCTGATGAGTGCCATAAGGTTATCTGGAACCTTGTTTCGGATCAGGAAAATGAACTCGCAAAGGACGATGAACCAACAATTTCAGAATTGTATTTATATTTCATGCACTTCTTCATGTCAATAATGCAAGACACCCTACTGAAGCTGGAAAGCAAGAAAATTCTTGCATGTGATCTTCACATTATCATGTGTAAGCTGCGTGATTCTTTGCAAAAAAAAATACGATGAGCAGTTTTTTGGAATGAAAGTTTTATTTGCCTTACATAAAAAACATTTGCCTGAGAATGCCGTGCAAAAGTTCAAGAAAGAAGCCATCAACGTGTATCAAAGAGCCATTGCATACCTAGAAAAGTGGTATAATTTCACTGATTCAGTATATGAGATGCTAAATTGTTTCAATCTAATTGATTGCAATAATCCTCCAACTTTAGAAGAAATGACGAACATCTGGTTATTATCACCATGGCGAGAAGAACTTCCACCCAACACTCTCTTCGATGAAATTTCTGCCTTAGAAGAAGTTTATGTTCATCTGCAGGGCGATTCATCCCTTGATAAGTGGATGTACTTTTTCAAGAAAGAGCCAGCTCCGAGTTTACTGAAACTGTTCCAGTATTGTGTATCAATTCCGGTATCAAATGCAAACGTTGAACGAATTTTCAGCGTCATGGGAAATTTGTGGACTGACGAACGTAACCGACTGCTTGTACCATCAGTTCGAAGTGAACTTTGTATATTTTTTAATATTTCTCAATGTTGTACTGAAATTAAAGAATTATTCCTTAAACACAAAGAATTGATCAAAGCTGCGCAGTCAGATAAAAAATACACACGACAGCAAAGTAAAATGTAATTTAATATTTTACATATTATTATAATATATTTGATGTTTTGAATTTTAAGTAAAGTTTTGAAGTGATTATTTTAATACTTGTTAAAATGTTTGTAAGAAAATATATAATTTAATTGTAAATTTTTTTAAAATTTTTTTACTACTTAGCCCCCCCTTCCCCCGCTTGTCTGCTATTTTTTGGAAGCAGACCTGGCAACCCTATGATCTGTAGATAGGGGAAAGCAGACTGGCCCTATGCCAAGGCTAAGATTTAGTCTTAAGACGCCACAATATTTTTTAAAATACTGATTAAACAGAATTAAGTAAATACATGATGATGTTTGGCAGTTTACAGCTTATAACTATAGAACTAGAAAGCCTATTCTAATGAATGTAAAAGAGAGAGAGAGAGAGATTGCCAGCACTCCCCATGAATGTTGATAGTTTCTCCATTAAGTACAATTTACATTCATCAGTGACTGACAACATTTGCTGAAGA